CCGATTCCTGCCACCCACATGGGATAAATGTCAAGTTGAATTCCCAGATGGAATCCTCCTGTTTTTTCGCTTCCACCCTGGCCCAGCCCTGCTGTGGCAGGCAGCTGAGAAGCAACGGCCAATAGGAGAGCACCTGCTTTCTCTCTCTCTCTCTCTCTCTCTCTCTTCCTATACCCACAAATAAATAAAAACAAATAGAAATTTTAAAAGCAGAGTCTTGCTTGCTAAATTTCACTCTAAGTAATATTATGGAACAGCCTAGGTTTGCTGTTATATAATGAAGCACATTAAGCTGCCATCTGCAAAGCCAGCATCCTAGGGGAAAGGGTCTGTGTCCTGCTTGCTCCATTTAGGATCTAGCTCCCCGCTAATGACCTAAAAAGCAGCGAAGCCTGGTCCAAAAGTTTGAGGCCATGTACCCTTATGGGAGACTTGGAAAGAGGTTCCTGGCTCCTGGCTTCTGCCTGGCCCTGCAATGCCCTGTGGTCATCTGGGGAGTGAACCAACAGATCCGTCATCATCTCTCTCTCTCTTTCAAATACATAAATATATCTTTTTAAGAAGAAATGGAAGACTATGTTAAAATGCGAACTACACAGAAGCTGATGACATTCTTATTTCATGTGAAACTGAAGAGCAAAGGACGATGCTGAAGGCCCAGGAGCGAGCTCACAGCGCTGAGCCCTCCCCGACGTCTTCAAGCCTGGAGCCTGGCAAACCACAGGCCCATGGGCCACATCCAATTTACAACCATTGAGCTAAGAATAGTCTTCACTTCTAAAGGATTGGGTGGAAATGAAAATAATACTACTACTTAGTGACAAGTGAAAAGTATGTGAAATTCAAATTTCAGTGTCTGTAAATAAATTTTACTGGAACATAGCCATGCCCATTCATTTACATACCGCCTATGGCTGCCATGCGTTATGCACAGCGCGGTAAGATGACACAGGGCACCAGGCAGATCACAAAACCTAAAAACTCGCTATTAGCTGCTCCACGGGAAAAGATTCACTGAGTCCTGACACAGACAGGGAAATTGGCAAACTCAGACACACACACACGAACTTTTTAAAAAAAATCAAAGAGTTGTTTGTTTCGTGTATCTGAGAGGCAGAAAGACACAGACTGACACAGGCAGAGAGAAATCTTTCCCGGGCAGGTTCGCTCTCCCCGGAAGACGACATCAATGACCAGGACTGGCTCAGCCTGAAGCTGAGAGCAGGGGCCTCAGTGAACAGGTGTCAGAGACCCAGCTCCCTGAGCCACGGGCACTAGCTCCCAGGGTGCACGGCTGGAATCATGGGCCAAACCAGCACTCAAGCTCAGTTGCCACTCTTGTATGAGATGTGGGCCCCAAGCAACATCTTAACCACATTGCCAAATGAAGCTGCTCACCCACCCCAGTTTCTGAATCACCAAAGTTTTCCCAAAATATCACGCAGTAGACATTAAAAAGGGTCCCAGGAGACTCCGGGGGTGCTCAGCACCACAGCCTGGCAATGGAAACTGGACCCCGTTGGATGCACCGACAGCTGGCAACGGGGACCGTCAGGCCTCAGCTTTCACCAGCCTGGGTTCTGGCTGCTGTGATTTCTAACACCGCGCTGCAAACTCTTAACCATCCTAAGGGTAAACCATCCTGATATCTTTTTAAAGCAGCGATATTATTAACAATTAAAAAGCTGTTGCCACTCCACATGCACAATAACTTTCTTATATTTTAATATGCATATCCATAGTCTGATTATAACAGCATGGAGAGATTGACAGGAAATGACTGAGTGTAATGGCTCCAGAGGAGACACTACATTGATCAGTAAATAATACACGTTTCCTGAAACTGTCTAACTGCATATTTACACTTGTCAGCTCGCATGCACGCTGAAGACAGAATTCCTTTTCAAACGTCCATGTACAGACTCTGATGCTGAGTTTCACAATGTTCTTTATCGACAAAAGGCACACTTCTCAGCTATACAAGGCTAAGCTTTAAATTTGAACCACCAGAGAGTGCCACCTGGAGCATTTGCGGCTGCATCCTTAGTATCAAGGTATTTGCAAATGACTAAACAAGGTTAAAACGCGGTTGCAAGTAGCAGGCATCTAGTCCAGAGCTTGCAAGGTGACATGCGCTGCACTGACGACTTCTCACAGCCAGTGAGGAGGACTCTCTCAAAGCTCTCATTTGGCAGAGGAGGAAAGAGAGGCTTAGAGAGAGAGAGAGAGAGAGAGAGAAGAGACTTGGCTCGGGTTTCACTATTAACAGACCTGGGAAGAGGAGAGGAGTTTATCCTTCAAGTTGCAGAGCTGAAGCTCTCCCTTGGCAGGCTATGGGCCGGTGCCTGGAAATCTGTATTTCACATCCTTCCCAGGCAGTCCTGGGAACACAGTCTGAATAACAGAGTCCTAGGGACTTGGCAGGGGAGGAGGAGAAAGACCACAGCGGCGTGGGCTCAAGTTTTCTCTGCTGCCCTCCAACACTGCCTATCGGAGGAGCCGAGAGAGAAAGTACAGGGCCCGTCCGTCTGGTAGCCTCTGGTGCCAATTCCCAGGCTCATCTGTGACACCTCCCATCACATCCCAGGTGAGCGCTCACCTGGGATGTCAGAGAGAGCTCGTATCTCTGGCAAATGACTCCTGGCTGAGGGGCTTACCTTCTGCCCACCCTAAAGGGCCACATCAATCATACTTCTCCAATAATTGAGGGCCGACTGGGATCGGGAGCACAGCGGTGCGGAGAACAGCTCTACCCTGACTCATTCATCAACCTTGAGACCACACAGTGGACTACACAACTCCCTTATCGCCCTTGCCCTCCCACACACATGGTTTTTATGAATCAAGTGATCACAAATATTAAAATATAGAGAAAACAGAAAACGGATCCCACCCAGACCCATTACACAGATTCTCAAATTATCAAGGCTCTGCCCTCACATTTTCTTTCCTTCTGAGTATTTGCAAAGGAAATATCAAATGACTTGTCACTCCCCCACCCCCCCATCATTTAATATGCAACTTTTAAAACCTGGAGAGAAACATTCTGAGATCACGACCTGTGTTGAGAGCCTGGGGACTGTGGGAGCTGCCAGCAGAGCAGGGGCATCTGCTCCCGCTAAGAGGACCTGCAAGCATTCACTGCTGAGCCCAGTGCCATGACCCTGGGAGACTTTTAGACTAAGGAAAAGGCCAGCATGGGAGGGATAAGTGGGGGGAATAAATTACTATCACGGACTCTATAAACATCCTGTTTATCAAGTGTCAGTTTGAAATGAGCTAGATTAGATCTCGTTCATCAAGGTAAATATAAACAAAATCTCTCCTGCCAGAATCACATCTAGATCCCTTAAAAAACCACCCGATCTGGGGCCAGCATTGGGCTACAGCACATGAAGCCACTGCATGCGACGTGAGCATCTCAGAGCAGAGCGCTCATGCAAGGCCCGGCTCCGCTGAGCTACCCAGTTCCTGATCATGGGCCTAGAAAACAGCAGACGACGGCTTCCCAGCACAGGGAAGGAGGCCTGGATGAGGCTGCCAGCTCCTAGCTCGCGGCTCCTAGCTCTGGCCCTGCTGAGACCCAGCCATTGCAGCCATTTGGGGAGAGAACCAATGGACAGAAGATCTCTTTTCTCTTTAATTATCTTTCTGTCTTTCAAATAAATCAAATAAATATTTAGGAGAAAAAAAAACCCACACGGGATCTGCTCAAAAGAAGACGAGGAAGTAGGACGACATTAGGGTTAAATCCAAGAGTGAAACAGGCCTGACCTAGGGGTCCCTTCCACTTCCAGCTCTGGCTTGGTGTCCCAGGCACGGGACTTAAACACAGAGCTTCTGTCTTTTCCACAATGACCCCAGAGCACCAGAATACCCAGAGTGCAGAGACACCACCAGGATTCCATGAGACAGCCACCCCATGAACCCCAAAGCAGAATCAGAAAAATGAGTGGCCAAGGAATGGCTGCCCATGACTGTTCAGTGTCAAAACTACTAAAATCTCATAGGACACCGGAAGACACAAAGATTCTATCTCCTCTCTCATAAGCCTCTATCAACCAACTCGGCGGGAATGTATAGTAGGCACTACCTGAGTGCCACCCCTAACAGGCCACAAGCAGTGTCTGCCCATTCAGTCACCCTGGAAGACAGCCCAGCAATCACCCCACCCTCGGCATGGGGAGCAGGGTTAACCACCAACACATGCATCTACAGTTGCTTCCCCAACTCAGGCTGCCGAGACTGAGACAAATAAAAACATCACACTGAAACAAAATTGAAATGCACATTTGTTACGTGATAGTCTAAACGTGCTCATGGCTCCTCGTTCTTTGGGATGGTGTGTAAAGGATGGCAGTTCTCAGGAGGCAGCTCAACAGCCCCCACACACCTTGCCTGGGAATTTCCTTCTCTCAGCCTCTGTGCGGGACCAAACCAAACAGCTTCAAAAACAACTCGCAATCTAAGTTCCTAGAATTTGACATCACGTGAAGTATAATGGCTAAATGCTTTCCTCCCTGGTACGGTGCTTCAGCATATCGATAAAAACCAAGATTAATATGCAAAAAGGAATTGTAAAGAACCTGGAACATATGTATGCCCCTCCCTTTGAGAAAGAAACCTGCACTCAAGAGTGAAAGTCTGAGCTGGGTTCTCACACCACCACTTCCTCTCATGCACGTGCAAAGACAACAATAGCTGCTTTTTTTCTTTTCCAAAGTTACAGAAATTAAAAAAAAAAAAAAAAAAGATCCTAGCACTGTAACGTTTCAAACTAGACGAAGGGTAGAAAGTAAAGTAGGTATCAAACCAGTCAAATCCACCAAGTACATGTGTCCAAAATGGAATCACCACACAAGCCCCGTCATTGCCAAAGCTGCATGTGGGTCAGAGTCTTCCTTGCATGAAACAGGCTGCGTGTCCACCTGGAGACACGGACTGCCCGGACGCCGCTGTCTTACGTTCTGTGCTGCTTCCACCCGTAGAAACGGTGAGTCTGCAGGCTTTCCTGCAAGGACTCAGGTGAAAGATCTCTGGAAGGCTACATCCACATTGAGGGGGAAGTGATCCATAATGATGTTTGCCTGAGGCACAGGAAGGCACAAAAACAAAGGGAGTTGGGGGGAGAAGACTGGAAAACCAGGAGGACTTCCAGCCAGGGGCGAGGTTAAAGGTCTACAGCTTTGTGGAGTGACATAGCAACAAGAGCCTGTCCACTACCTCCAACGCTTACAGTGACTCTGTACGCCCAGAAAAATCTGTGTAATCCCACAGGGCGCTCAGAGGGGAGCGGAAAATACCTGTAATATAAATGCAGATTACCTTTATTACAAACTTGGATCATATTCTCAATCCTAGACTAATTTCCTATATCATAAAACCTATATTCAATTTTATAAATAGCGTACACCAAGAATCATAAATTCAGTTAATGCAGAAACGTAACAGATTTTTTTTTTTAAATAAAAGTGAGAAAAGGCGATTTCCGAGCAAATGTCTGACAGGACAGAAAGCCTTCTCTCCTTGAAGACGTGTTTTTCCCTCTGACTCGCCCTCCTTGGGGGATGTAACTAGAGAAGAAATAAATTTCACAGCTAATATATAAGAAGTAACATGTTTAACATTATTCAGTGAATTTATATCTACCTGCACCGTATAAATTTATCTCACATAAACTGTCACCTCCAACAGAATTCATTGAAACAATGTTACAGCTTCTGAATTAAATGCAATCTTCTAATTGGAATTTAATCTTGCAATAGTAGTAGGTGGATTTTCTTTTTAAATTGACAAATGGAAGAATTCATTAGTTCGTCTTATAATACTGCCTGAAGAATTTAAAAGTGCATATGACATGGGACCGGGGGAGGACAGGCTGGCCATTGCTGGGAGGAGCGAGCGGGCTGGGGAGGAGGGTGATGGCCCTTTCATCAGCTTCAGAACCACCTGCACTGCTTCCGGCAGGAAAGGATGGACACTCCAGCACCATCTGGAGTTACCACCTAGCTAACATATTCCATTACCTCCGCGTAAATGTCATGTTAATTTCTGATCTTCATCAAGCCAGACAATGGATTCCACCATTGGCCCCTAGCCAATTAGCTTTGTGGAAAATATTCAGCCAATTACATTACATCTATTAGGTTAGGGACTGGGGAGAAGGGCAAAATAAACGCCTCAAAAATACTTCAGAGATAAAATGTAAGTTGACACTGTCTCCGCATGCTGGAGCCCACGTTATACAATCTGATAGGCAGCTGCCAGCACTCATAACAGCTTATTAAATCTAGCCTCTCTTTATGGCACGAGTGAAGATCTGTATTTTTACCAATATTAGGTTCATTGTGTTATGAAAGAGACCAAAATACTTAAGATCATCCGCTCTGGCTTATAAAACTTATTATATAGTTTATTAAATTGTTAAAATTACTTTTCAAAGTCAAAATTTCAGGGACTGGAAATTTAAGCACAACAAAGTGGCTTGGCCACTGATGGGCTGCAGCCCAGGAGAGCCTGCTGGCCAGCTTTCCTGTCCCAAAGCACCTGTCAGCTGCACCCACCTTGTCCCAGAAGCTGTGGAGCCACCACTCTACCCCAAAACCAACGACAAAAAAAAAAAAAAAAAAAAAAAACCAAAAAAACTGACATGGTCCAGCTTTATTTAGAAAAGCAAGGAACTCCCAGTCCTATCAATTGTGAAGTAAGACATAATTTCCCACGTTTTCACCTCCTCTTGGGAAGTCAAAGACTAGGAATTTGATTATGAGAGAGATTAAAGAAGAAACTTTAGGCAAGTAAGGGGAAACGACTCTGGGCAAACATGACATAGCCATGTCATGTGATGCTCAAACTCGAAACAGCACCCACGAGCCAGGGAGAACTGCTCAGCCGGAACAATGCAGGGCCTTAGCAGAGACTCCCAAACAAGCTCACATGTTCAGCATCTACTCAACGCCTCTAAACTCCATGCACATGCAGACTGTAACCTCACGGCTAGCTGCCTACTAAGCATGCAGCGGGCTCAACAATTCCTCGCTCTCGGTGTCCATGAGGCGCACGAGGTAGGCACCAGTAAAACCTATGGCATCAGGGTGGGTGATGCCTTCCTGGTGAGCAGTGGCATTAAAGAACCCAGCACACCCTGAGCCCCGAAGTGTGCAGCCCTCCTTTCCGTTTCCTGTCCCCTACATTAATTTGTTATGCAGGCCTGGCTATCACAATGTAAATCAAGGCCAATACCCGCTGTGTGACCTTAAAAGGTTTGCCACCATAATCTATCTGTGTATTCCATTTCTCTCAAAGTTTCATTTTCTCACAGTTGAGTGAGGCAACTTGCTCTTCTCACCACCTACACTAGTGCCTGACCTGTTCCACCACGAGGACTCTTAACCATGAAATGTTTCACTCAGAGTTTATTTTCAGCCAATTTTGCCAAATTATCATTCATACTGATTAATCTGTGTTTGGCTCAATGAACTGCAAAGTTCTCAAAGGCATATGACTATGAATAAACTTTTGACAATGGAAGGACTAACTAACAGAGACACAATGCATGGAGAGGGGCAATGGCATCATAAAGGGAGAAAATCAGTCCCTGGGGTAAATTCTGGAAGTGTGCCTTAAGGGGAAAGTGAGAAGAGGATTTAAAAAAATCAGAGTAAGTGCTCCAGCTAACAGGGCTTAGGGTACCTCTACTTGCTATAGAATGAAGGGAAGTTTATTACAATCCATTAATTATAAACCACTTGCATATTTAGAAAGACAAAGTATTCAACTGAGTCTAACAATGCATTTTGTCCAACAATAGATCATTTTCATTACAGTTCTTCAGATTGATTTTTCAGATAGTGGGACTTACCCAATTGAAATTATTGAATAAAATGAGCCTCATTTTCAATAAATCCATTCATGTGGTTTTGTTAAATTACATACCACCAATTTTATGATAGCGAGATTGAGTCAGACTCTCTCAATACTGAAAACAGAAATGACAGGCAACCCAAATCCCTGAGTTTGCCGATATTTTAGTACCTTCAGAAGTCTAACCACTGCATGCATTCTCATTTGTATCTAACACCGATCCTAGAGTTTGTTCTTCACTTTACCTGATTCCCCCCCAAAACAGAACTTAACACAGGCCATCTGCTCCTTAACCTACAGACATTTACTCAAGTCTGTCACAGTTGCATGGCAATGCAAAACCACTAAAGAACTGATGGGAACCAAGGGACTGAGCCAAGAGCACCAATTAAAATTATCCAAGACTCCAATACTGAAAATTCCACAACTCCCTTAGCCGGCTCTTTCCATTATGGACTTCCTGCCTTAGGTGCTATTGCTTACTATCTGCCCTAAGGTATGGCCAAAGAAAGAATATGGTGAAGAAGCCACAAGACTCAACCTTTTTCCCCTCTATCTCTGGGCTCCAGCAGAACAAATTGAAAACATCAAGTAGTGTGAGCAAAACACAAGCCAATATGAAAGTGGATCTGAAGGTCAACAGGCTCTTTGAGGATCATCTGGTCCCTGCTATTTAGGTTAGTTGCTTCAATGAGGCCTTTTGAAAAAGATCTATGAAAGTGCAAGCATTTTTCAAAATGACCTCTAGCTATAAAATCTTTGAACACTTGGCCCAAATAGACACTGCATGTTGTACCTTAAACAGATAGTTAACAAAAGAGCTTTACTGAGCTGACTGGGCTGTGCTAATCTCTTTAAGATATGCAAGAAAGGACCAGTGATTGGGAAACAAATAATGAGGATCCATTCCTGACCAAACTCAGTGACTTAGCCACCCCAGCGAGACCCTACAAACCATGACCTGTCGCATGTGTAGACAGAGCAGGTTTAGACAGATAACTTCTCGGGTTCCTCCAATCCACACGCTTTGTCATAAATAGGAACTCGTGGAAGAGAGAGATCAATTTTTCACATGTCAAGCAACTATTCTTTCAACTTCCAAGAAAATATGTTGTTCCCCTATGTTTCTCTCCAGTAAATAAAACCTGTTTCAAAAACAGCTTTACTAAGACAAACAAGGTACATTTCTGACAATGGATTTGACCACTAAGTGCCATTCAATACAAAGCCTGAAACCAAATAATTCCTCCTGAAATCGACCTCATCCTATGACAAAGCCACCACTAAATGATGTCAGTTTTCACCCAAGACATTTGGTCTCAACAGTCATCCTTTCTGATAAAGGCAGGTCACCACTGTGCTATCACTACAAGGAAACCATCCATTTCTAAGGAAAATGAGAGAAACATCAAATGTGTAAAACTGGTATCAAAGAATCAACCTCCCTCTGCCTATCCCTAAAAGTTCAATGAATAAACTATGGTTTTAAAATGCCCAAGAGTTTTTCTTGAGAGCCCAAAATCTCCATGAGCCCTGTCACGAGGGAAGTCCAAACGGGACTCACTGAATGTACAAATGAGACCAAAAAACGTCCTCAATGAGGCCATTATAGTCTTCTTCCATGACAGCTCATGTGATCATTAAGTTTTCCATAATGACACCAAAAGCTGGGACTCATGTGGTTGAGTGTGTGGTCTTGTAATTTTGACAGCGCAGCCTTTGGAATCTTTTCAGAACAAGCACAAAAGTCCAGCCGAGTCGCCCTCTGCTGTTCGTACATCCTGAGATTGCCACCTGAACCACCCAAGGACCACACTGGCAAACAACGGCGGAGTTTGTCCCTTCTTCTAAATACATAATCACTTATCTTCCCTGTGGAGGGGAGGGGCGGGGAAGACTATCCTGATGGAGTTTTAGACTTGTGAGTTATCAGGCAAAGAGCCACCGACACACACTCACCCTGTTGGCTGGCAGGCATCACATCCGCCCGTTCACGGCTGGCAGCAAATCAGAGAAGGGATCGAAGCCCTCACCATGGCTGAAATGGTGCGTCTGGAAACTACAAGTGGCAGCCAAAGCTCCTGGGACACTGCAACACAGAAATAATTTTTTACATATAACCAAGATGTTACTTCTAAAACCACCACTTCCTTACACTTGAAAACAGCAAGGCACACACAGCACTAGAGGTGGGGGAAAACACCACTCAGCCGAGGGTATGCCAAAGCCTCCAGCCCGAGGCTGCCACACAAACCAGAAATGGTGTTTTGAAAGATGCACTTAGCAACCACCTCACCTCTTACACTGAAAAGGCTTTCTATTTACGGTGGACTCTGCAGAAAATGCCTCAAACATTCTAGTATGACAAAAATATTACGTCCTACTAGAGGCGTTCAGATTAGCAACAAGCTGTTTGAACTCAAATCTTCACACAAATGCACGTTCATAGGAAGTAATGCTCTTTTGCAACAGCTGAACATATTCAATCATGATATTAAATTATTTTTAAGCTAACAATGATGATGATGATGGACAGTACAACCAATATAAGAAGCAACCACCATGATTTCTATCCTCCCAAATAACATCCTACAAATGACTGTCAATAACACAAGGAAAATATTCATAGATGCTCGCATCAAGAGAGAATAACCAGTGGCAAATGCCTGGCTCAAAACCAAGCAGCCTGATCCCTGCGCTGTGGTCAATCAGCGTGCATGCAACAAATCAGGATTCCAGGCTCTTTGTGGGCAAGGCCAGGTCCCTTCTGCTTGACGTTTTTGTCTTTCTGACAAACTGTGTGTCTTCTAAATAACCTGGACTATTAACTTTTTTTCAAGCTTCTTGACTAAAATGGGATGTAGGCCCAATTGCCATTCAAGACACATTGTGGAGGCAGGCGTGGCTTCAGTCCTTAACACACCTGAGTTCTCAATACCTGGATCTGAGCCCTAGCTGCAATCCTCATCCATCCCTGCCTACTTAGTCAGGAAGACCCTGCAAGGCAGCAGGTAGTGGTTCCAGAGAGTCCATTGGGTTAAACTCCTAACTCCAGGCTTCAGTCTGGCCTCGTGCTAGCTGCTGTGGGCCTTTGGGGGATGAACCAATAAAGGGGAGATCAATCTGTCTGTCTGTCACTCAAAGAAATAAACGCTTGTTTGGAAAAGACATATTGTGACAGAGAAGTACTATAAGTATTTGGAAAGGTCTCACCCTGGTACAAGTACCCAACCCCATAGCGAGCTGGCACCCTTGGCAGCTGATGGCATCCCGTGAGGCCCCATAGTCAGCTTCCGTTCTTCTGCTGTGGGCACAGGTCTGCCACAGGGGGAAACCTGGCCAAGTGCATTCCACCTCAGTGCCTCTCAAACTGCAATGTGCAGATGCACCCCAGGCTGAGCCTTCCCCACACAGATTCCTGAACCCATTCCCAGTGAGCCTAATTCAGTAGGATGGAAAGGGAGTCTGAGATTCTTCCGTATTTGCAACAAACTACCAAGAATTGGTAACTCAGTCATTCATGGATCTCATTCTGAACCAAACTGACAAAGCCCTGTTGTCCAAGTCAGCAAGCAAATGCAAGAGCCAACCAGCATTTCCAACCAGCATTCTAACCTGTGCCGCCAAAGTTAGAGTCCAAGGCACAAGACAAAAAGGAATGGCCCCACCTAACCCTGTCACTGTACTTTGACATGAACCTCAAACCACAACCCAGTCACTCACTGCAACCAAGGCAGATGCAGTGGTCTTCCTTGTAGTTCAAGCAAGCCAAGGCTTGCCCAGCTTCAAGGTTGGTGGCTTTGCTATTCAGGGCACTGAGATTCCATGACCTACTACCTTTGTGGCACCTTATCCTTAGAAAAGATAAGAAAAGATATCTTAGAGACATAAGCCACTTTAAGAACCTGCCCATCAACTTAACCTAGGTCCCCATGTACCTTCAACCATATCATTCTATTTGCTTACTCAAGAGCCTTTTATATTATTTTTTGTACTTTATTTATCTGTCTTCCTCTTGAGATTATAAGCCGCATGAGAAAAAGGAACTGTTTTGTTCATCACTGTACTCTGAAACTTCAAAAATATGCCTGGCCCATAGCAGGGAACTAATACAAATTCGTTTGAATCAACAAATTCAAAGAATCAATTTTTCTGCATCTTGTGAAAACACCATCCATTTCTCAAATCTCACTAGATACTGTCTTAGGCATGTTCCAAGTTATTTCATTTAACATTATAATCTTTGTTTTTTTTTTTTCTTTAAGATTTATTTGTTGTTTTGGAAAGGTAGATTTATAGAACAGAGAGACAGAAAGAACTTTCATCTGCTAGTTCACACCCCAAATGGCCGCAATGACTGGAGCTGTGCCAACTCGAAGCCAGGAGCTTCTTCCTGGTCTCCCACACAGGTGCAGGGTCCCAAGGCTTTCCCAGGGTCCCATGTTTTCCCAGGTCACAAGCAGGGAGCTGAATGGGAAGTAGAGCAGCTGGGATATGAACCAGAACCTATATGTAGTTCTAGTGTGTGCAAGATGAGGATTTTAGCCACTGAATCATTTGCACTAGGCCCTTAACATTATATTCTTACAGCAAGATTCCCGGAAGATAACATTACTACAAGCTCAATATGCAGGTAAGAAAACTGACACAAAGAGAGTTTTAATAGCCTGACTCTATAGAACTTGTACTCATGAGACTCTTACATTTTTCCTAGCTAATGCAATAATTCAAAATGTTAAGAGCCTATCTTGTGACATAGTTTTTCTGACTTAAGTTTGCTCAGAAAGTGAAGTTCAATGGTGAGGTTCCATGGAAGACTCTAGGCAGAGGTGACGGCTCTAGTAGTTGCATCCCTGCCCCTCTTCTGGGAGTCCTGGGTAGAGCTCCAGGCTCCCAGCTTTGGTCTTAGCAGAGCCCCCAGCTCCTGAAGGTAGCTGAGGAACCAATCAGAGGCTTGGGGAGAACTTGCTGGAACAATCTCTTGCCCTGACTCCTCCCTCTCCCCCTCCAAAAAAAGACGGTGAGGATAGAGAGCCAGGAGATGTCATGCAGGAACTTAATTTCCATTCTCAATGGGAGGAGAATCAAGTGTCTGGCTAAGACATCAGCTGGCCAAACAATGCCCTGACAGTAGGATCTCCAGCGCTGCTTTGCTTGACTGCCAAATGCATTCAAGTAACCAGGTGCACCCAGAAAGAAGGGAAGAATCAACACTGCGGTTTATGGAATATTTTTGTTTTGTTTCTATGTGTATTTTGTTAAGAACTCAACAGATGCAAGATTCAATTCCATCTTCATGGAGTTCTGCAAGTAACAGAAATACTCAGGTCCTCTGAGCTCTAGAAATGAAAAATTCAGCAATGGGAATAAAGAAACATATGAGAAGAGAAGACAGATATCCAAATAAATTATCCAGAATACAACCCAGAGGCAAAAAACTGTCTACCTAGAATAGTAGACCCAGAAAAACTATCTGTCAAAAATGAGGGTGAAATAAGAGCTTTCCAGACAAACAGAAGCTTACCACCTCTCTATAAGGATATTCTAAAGATTTATGACAGATCCAAGAAAAATGATTTCAGGAGGAAGATACTCTGATTTAAGAAAGTGGGGGTGGAGGGGAGGGCAGAGCCAAGGCGAGAGAATGTGTTAGTAAATGGAAAGCGAATGCATAAACAAAGCAAGATACAGGACTCAAGATTGGAGAGAGAACACTGGCAGTGCCACCCCTGGCTTCCTACTTCAATGCAGTCATTTACAAGGTGGCAGTGTCACTCACCCAGGCAGGGCCTGCACACTTGAGGGTGTGCACGTCAGACACCAGCTCCTGATGCAGTCGGCAAAGGCTCAGGGCGCTGGAATGCACTTTTCCACCCTGGAGCCCAGGTCGCTCTGGTGAAGAAGCGAGGAGGACCAGAGGAGAGCCAGGGATCCAGGGAGGCCCCTGGGGGCCCAGCGCTGGGCAGCTCAGCAAGCCTTTGTTCTTCACTTCTCTACAGCCCTGGGAACACCTTGGCCCAGAAGGCCAGCAGTGGCCCTGTCTCAAGCCTGCTAATCAGGAACTGCAATAAATTAAAAGCCCATTAAAATATTTTAGAGAAAAGCCTAGAAGTGCTGAAACATTAATTGTGCCATATTCAATCTGTTTTCCTAGAGATCTGAAAAGCCAGATTACCATCTTGGGGGTCATTAGAAAGAATCAGCCTTTTCTCCTTTTTCAATTTACATATTTAAAAATGCATACATTCTGGCAGTGGCTACTAAAGTCCTTTCCAAGGCCTTCCAAGGCTTGTAGCTGCTCCAAATGCCACAGTCTAGCCAGGGAGAAACGAGTCTGGGTGCCACAGGGGCCTGCTTTGTTTTGGAAGCAAGGGAACCAAAAGCCCAGGGCCTGCGGTTGCAAAACAGCTCCGGGAAAACAGGTAGAGGCAGTAACAACACAACGGGGCTGTTTTCTTGTTTTGTTCTCCCCTGTTTATTTTTCCCTGAAGCAATCCCTGCTCAGTACAAAAGTCTGCAGGGAGCTGGCAAGAGCAGCTGTGGTTCCCTGAGGCCAGGACCTAGCAATCAAGTTGTTTACCAAACACTGCCAGGCACCAGAAAAACAACAACAGCCCAGGCAGCATTTGCATCTATTTTTTCAAATGTCTGCTGCCTGCCCTGGAACTGCCCTGGGTGGCTGAAAAGAGAACTTGGAAAAAGAAAGGAATGAACTGCACTAAGGATGCCTCCCTCTGCCTCAATCTGATCTGTTTTTCCACTTCCTCCTAAGAATGTCTGGCCCGTGAAGGCAGACTCCAGGGCCTGAGCGATGTCAAGCGGTGGGCCCTGCAGAGACGCCTTTCCAGGTACCAGGACCAGCCAAGCAAACTCTGACACCCAGGAGCAAGTCCTCAATCCTCAGAGACTTCACACAGGACAGACTACTGGGGTCATTCCCTCTACTTTCAGGACACCACAGACCTAAGGATCTGGGGGACTAAGAATTTCTATCAAGGACTCAGTTTGATGCCAGTGTTCCTGGTCCCAGCACTCATTGTGCAAACCACTGTTGCAAAGCTTTAGGACTCCTCCACCAGCAGATCTGGA